TAAGCCAGCTTCAACCCTGAGTTTCAATGGCCTCCTTTACTATCCTGCCTGATAGGAAGTGGCAAATGAGTTCACTGGCACATTCTGCATAGCAGCATGAATTACAATCAGCACAGAGCAATGAGACATTCCCAAAGATTTACATCTTCCATTCATTATGTAATTACATCTTCTCCCATGTTACTCCTCTGGTTTATGAAGACGATTCTGATCTCTTACTGCTACAGGAATGGGAGAAAGACTTTTGAATGAACTTTGCAATTCTGTGCCTGTCAGAATCAGTATGCCTCTACTCACCTTAAACTCTTTTTCAATGTTGGCAAGCACGGCCAGCTCATTGCTGAGTTCTAAGGCAGTCATTACAGGATCTTCACTGGACAAAGACAGATAAGCAGGGCTGGCCAGACCTTTGTAGGCATTGATTCTGGACCTAGAATGGCTGAAAGAGTCATGCTTTTGTTTCTGATTGCATTCACTGCACTTGCAGAAATAGTCATGTGGCCTATCAATCCGAGCTCCTTTTCTTAGCAGAGTGTGGACAATCTCATACTCGTGGCAGTGAGCGGCCAGAATGATTGGTGTAACATCATGGGAGAACCGTGTCCCATCTTCATCATACGCATAGAAGTCATCATGCTGGAGCTCCGACTGGCTAGGACTCAACGCAAGCCTCTTGCCCTCTGCAAATGCCGGGTGGTTTAGGATGGCTTCCACTATCCGAACGTAACCTTTGCTAATAGCCAAAAGCAAGGCATCCCCAACCCGAGACAGGTTCTCCTTCTTCAGCAGAAGTTCTGTGATCTCCAGGTGCTCATTGGCAACCGCCAGCTGCAAGGCGTTCTGCCCCATGTAGTCCACACAGTTCACATTGAGTGAGGGACATTCTTCCAGCATCTTGCGAACCACTGGGATATTTCCATACTCCGCTGCGTCCAGGAAGCGCTCCTCCTCGAGAGAGAGGCTGGTGGAGCGGTCATTAAACATGTACGCCGGCCCCCGGCTGGCCTGCCTCCTGCCCTTCTCCCGCAGAACCGTCTGCCGCCGCAGCGCCAGCCTGCTCTCGCCGCCCCGCCTGCGGGCAAAGGAAGGAAGGATTACATCTGGGTTAGGCAAGGTCACAGCCCTTCTAAAGAACAAATTGTAATCATTTATCTGCTGCACGTTTTTCACGCAGCAGGGAGGCCAGGACCCCTGATTCTGATGCGCTTTGTTGGTACACTTTGATGTACGTGGTTGGTACACAGCCCTGGAATCAGTACCCAGCTACATTTTATTTCAACAAGAAGAAAAAGCCCCAGACAATCTTCTTTTAAGCCTACACTTTTCCCCCTATGTTGTCTCCCACAGCTTTTGCCCAATTTTTAGTGAAGTTAGACTGTGCTTCATATTACAAAGGTAGAATAACAGTTTTAATGGTAAGGGTCTTTCTCAGGTTTACACAGAAAGCCCCTCTCTGTTTCTCCAGCGCTGTTCTATCCAAACTGCACATCATCACTTGGTATCTCACACACCTCTCTGGTATGTATGGTCACTTCATGAAAAAAACACTTCCTATTTGAATCTAACGAAGAAGAAAACATTATAACATTCTTACATGCTAAGATTTCACTTTCTAGTTACAAGAATATTTCCAACAGAGAACATGCAGCCAAGTCTGAGAATTGCTTCCACAGCAAAGGTATCTTTTCTTTAGACGAATGTACTTTTTTCTGACACCTTTGCTAGGTCTAGCAGATATTTTGAAGGACTTCACTGCAACAGCTGGTTATAAAAACAAAACCAAACAAAACAAAAAAAAAAAAAGCCAAACCAAAACCAAACCAAGCCATACCATAAGATCTCAAGTTCATCTTTTAAATCCAAGGATGACCTGAAGAATAGTGACTCTAAAATGCAATGACTGCCTCAGTCCAGAGACAGTCGGCATCAACAGCACAAGGCAGTGACAATAGCCCACATATGGTCAGCTGGTAGAAGGCATCCCAGGGACACTACCTGAGCCTACGTGCCCTCAGGTGGCCCCTTTAAAAGCCACCATCTCCTCAGGAGGCTGTTCATCCAAAACGCTTTATTTGGTCTATGCTGATGCTAAGTCACAGCTCAGGGAGAAGTCACAGTGTCAAAGGCCTCAGCAGCTGTGGGATGAGCCATCGCACAGGACAGCAGGGCACACAAATATGGAACCCCTCTAAATTCCTTTCTGCCTCAGAAAAGCAGGCAGGGTGACTTCACTTTGCTCTTACTATTCTTGCCCTACCACAACTTCAGTAGCTTACATGCTTCCCTTTGCCCTGCTGATGTTTTTCTGACATCTGTAAGCGAATATTCAGTGATCAGGTGAACCTGTACAAGACAAAAGCACACCGACTACATTGTGTGACATCTGCTACTTCCCATATCCAGCACCCTTTTCATTATTACAGTTCACAACCTTGATATCCTATTTATTTCCCCACTCAGAGGCTTGCCAATTCTTACTTCACAATAGCTCTGACATGTTGTCCATTCTTCTACTACTGAAGCCCTCAGACATTCCTCACATCTTATATCAATCATTAATTACTTCATAATTATTTAATTATTAAACCAAAGTGAACCATATCAAAGCTATGTTTGCTGAGTAATGTTGCAAAATATGCCACATTCTCTTCAACAAGAAGAAAATGTAATTCATTACTCTTAGTTCAGTCAGCTAAGATCCCAACCCTCAATAGAAATTCAATCACAAATAATTTTCTCTCATAGAATTCGTCTGCTATACTACACAATATTCACTACAACTTCATCTTTTTTTCTTTTTGAATGCTAGTTTAATTATTCTTTACATATCTATGCTCAAACACACTTGACTATTTTCAGTATTTCCCACCAAATACTAATCATGGGCAATACCTTATTCGTTAAATACTAAGGAATAAGAATTTAAATATTTAAATTACAGTTAAAATAATCAGTCCTTTGTGACTCAAAGGATCTTCACATTACAAGATACTATTTATTCTAGACTATTTTTATTTAATTTAGTATCAATTCCCTTTCTGCCTCTTGCCTTCTCAGTTCCAGAGACACAGTCCTTTGCAGCATTGGAAATGTTTCAAATTGCCAGTCTTAAATCTAAACGGCCAATGAATCCTGGGCTGCATCAAAAGAAGCGTGGCCAGCAGATGGAGAGAGGTGATCCTGCCGCTCTACTCTGCCCTGGTGAGACCTCACCTGGAGTCCTGTGTCCAGCTCTGGAGCCCCCAGCACAAGAAGGAGGTGCACCTTTTGGAGCGTGTTCAATGGAGAGCCACAGAAATGATCAGAGGGCTGGAGCAGCTCTCCTGTGAGGACAGGGTGAGGGAGTTGGGGTTGTTCAGTCTGGAGAAGAGGAGGCTCTGGGGAGACCTTATGACAACCTTCCAGTACCTGAGAGGGGCCTACAAGAATGCAGGGGAGGGACTATCCACAAGGGTTGGTAGTGACAGGACGAGGGGTAATGGCTTTAAGCTAGAAAAGGGTAGATTTAGGTTAGATGTTAGGAAAAAGTCCTTCAGTATGAGGGTGACAGATCCCTGGAATAGGTTGCTCAGAGAGGTGGTGGAGGCCCCATCCCTGGAGACATTCAAGTTCAGGCTGGATGAGGCTCTGAGCAGCTTGATCTAGTTGGAGATGTCCCTGCTTATGGTGGGGGGGTTGGACTAGATGACCTTTGAAGGTCCCTTCCAGCCCAGACATTCTATGATTCTATGATTTTTTTTTCAAGACAATTATAGGTATTGAATAGGGAATGTATCAAAATCAACAACTGTAACATTGTTCAATATGCAGACGAAAGATTACTGTGCTGCAATGGCAAGTTCACAGCCCCAGTACAGACTATGTCTATCATTTCATGATATGGAATATAGTTGGATCCCATCTTCTTTCATTCCTCAACATCACTGCAAAGGCTGTCTCAGGATATCCATGAGAGAGCATGGATATATGCTAACATCTTATAGGTGAATATGCTATATGGCTAGTTGAAATTTTTCCATACATATTTCCAGGTATTTTAAAATAAAATAAAATTTTAAAAATCAAGCTATTATGTTTGTTGGAAAGACAGCCTATGGAGAAGTTTCATAATAAAACATGAAAAACTGAAAAAGTTGAAATATTATTAATGTTGGTGGTAATACTGGTGCCAAAATCCAAAAGTGAATTGCTACTCATTTAATTGCAGTAGCAGAATAATCTGAAATGCAGAAACCATCCTATTGAGGAGCACGCTGGCAAATCCTGCATCTCTCTTGAACTGCTTCTTTCCTCATGATTCATGCAGCAATCATTTACTACTAAACATCACTTAAATAATAACTGAAATAATAACTGAAGTTATTTGAACAGACAGTAAATCCAGCTCACAAACACTATAACTATTTTTTAAAACTTCAAAAAGGTAAAGATACTTTCAGTATAGATTCAGATTTTATTTAAACTAATTGACAATAAAAATATCATTGATTTAAAATATATATCTTTATGTACCCTGAAAAACTAATCCAGTATAAAATTATTCTGCTAGCATTTGATCCTTATACAAGGAAAAAAACCCTTCCACAGGATTATGGTCATTATTTTTTCCTGAGATGTTAACAACTTCAGTTAAGCAGCCAAAAACTGCAGTTCATTAAACACTTTCTCTTTTATTTAACAAATAATAGTAACCAATTATATTTCTATTCCAGTAATACAGTCAGTATGATTTATCAAAACAAAGAGTAATTATTGCTAGTGAAGAGTGCTTAGAATTAGCTTGTTTGTCCAGTAGCATTTCCTCTTTCCTTGCCTGCATTTAGAAGAAAATTGTTGCTTTAAGAGGAGATTAAGAACATATATTCCCTAGATAGTATCTCATCTTCTGCTTTAGAACTGACTAAAGAATGAAATAGAAGATTTTTGCATTGCTTGCTGGACTATAGCATGTCTGATGCAGAGCTCTATAATCCCAGTGTAATCCATTTTTCCCTGCATCAATATACTTTATACATATGAATTAAATTTCCTGCTCTGTCCATTTGCAATTACAGTTAATTAAAGGTCTGTAATTAAAACTGGTTCTTGCAGCACAAGACTATAAATACATTTAATGGTAGCAGAGAAAGCAAATTGTTCTACTTTATTATTTCTGCTTAATTAGATTATACAGTAAATATTAATTCAGGAGTTTGTTAAGAAGTGTAAGATACTTGATTGCTTCCAAAACCAGGGAAAAGAAATTTATAATCCAGAAGATTATGTCCAGTCCTGGTATGTTCTGATGTTCTTACATTTATTTCACCATTACTAAGGTCCTTTCAGCCCATTTTTTATCAAAAAGAAGCCTATGTTAGCACCTATTGCCACTGTCTCTGGCCACATACGTCTTAAAGCCACTTGAAACCTCAGCCTTCAAAGACTACTGAAGAACTGTTGGTTGCAACAGAGTATTAATGCACTCTGGGGGGAACGTGCTCTAAATGACCATATCTGTGACTACTTCAGAGCCATTTTGGATGTCATATTACAGGAAGGAGGTCTACAAAATAAGAAAGTAAATGCAAAAGAGCAGCAGGGGTCACATAGTCTCTACTGTATTTTCCACTTTAAGCATAATAAGGTTGATTTTGTGAATTATATAGGATAGTATTCCACTCATCTCACTCATACTATAGGAACAGTAGGATTCTAGTATAAGTTAGTCATCTTGATCTACTCTGTAGATAAAGGGGAGAGAAATCTACTGTCTACCTTTAATATTTATTTTTGAATCCGAGCTAATTAAGTGAGATTAAGGTCTCCCATATTGTATAGAATTTAGTAGGAACACAGACCACAGAAAGCTCATGGAGTCAAGTCCCTTAACAAGTACAGATACCTTTTCAAACAATTCCCATTAAATGATCAGACTCTGTCTTAAAGGAAATTATCGTCTTGCTCACATTTTATTTTCTCTTGCTAATCCTACTGAAAGACTAATCCAGAATTTGATCGTTCTACCAGTTGATTCATCTAATTTTCAGTCTAAATTTAATAATGGCAAATTTATACCTATTTTTTTT